TGGCCGGGCAGGTGCTAAGCCCCGAGGTAGGCTTCTGCGATGGGCAAGTGGCCGTGCACAGGGTTGCGTGCTCTGTGGTGTCAGTCATGGGTTTTAATGCTTCTCGTCATCCCACAACCCACGTGAAAATACCCCATAATGAAGGGGAGGGGTGGTATGTGTGTCAACGAAGCCAAATGGGCAGCATTTCTTGGTGGCTGTCATGGGGCACGTGGAGTGGTGGACCCTGGGAGGCTGTCCACGTCCCTGCCGCAGCACCTGTGATGGTGACCTTTTTTGGAAATAGAGTCCCTGCGGATGTGACTTAGGATCTCGGGAGGAGTTCATCTTGGATTTAGGGTGAGACCTCAGTCCAATGACTGGGATCCTTATAAGAGGAGAGAGAGGAAGGTCCAACATACAGGCGCAGGGGAGAAGGCCACGGGCTGAGTGGTCCCGCAGCCACCAGAAGCTAGACGAGGCGGGAAATGGAGTCCCCCTCAGAGCCTCCAGGGGCACCAACCCTGCACACATCTTGATCTTGGACTTCCGGCCTCTAGAACCGGGAGAGAATCCATTTCTGCTGTTCCTAAACCATCAGCTTCGTGGTTATCTCTTATAGCAGCTGCAGGAAACTACTCTAGTGGTGCTCAAAGGCCTGAACTGATATTTTTAGGTATGTTTTCTTTCCTAAAGTTGTTTTTCTCAGGCTAATCTTAAAATTGGGTTATATTCCATCAGCCCACCCTGGCTGGGCCCTTAGAGGAAGGAGCTGCAGTGGGTGAATGTTGGCCTGAGATGCCACAAAACACCCTACAATATGAGGCCCATTCAGTCTGGCTGACTGGCTGCCAGCATGGCTGATCCGGCCTTTAAGGTCAAGGGGTGCATTTTTCAACAGGTACCTTAGGGAGACCGGAGGTCATGGTTCCCTGCTCTGGGGGTGAGCAGGATGCCTGAACTGGCAGCGTCCTGGGGGGATGCTCCACTCCTCCCGGGTTGGCGTCATCAGCTGCGTTGCTCCTGGGGCTGATGATTGACAGTGCTTGTAGGGCCCCTTCAAGCCCAAGGGGAACAGACGTGAAGTGGTCTTGATGACAAGCCACAGGACAGGATGGTGGGGGGCATCCCGACCTATCCTAGGCCCCTAGAGCACCAGAAACCCCAATGACACAGAACCCTCGGGCATGGGAATAGGTGTTAATTAGTATCTAGGTTCGGCCGGTGTAGCAGAGCCCCCAGCCACTGTGGCACAAACACGGGCAGCTTGCGAGCTTGCGCAGTGCAGGGTGTGGCCCAAAATGGAGCTCCAGCCATCAGAACCGTGCTCCAAGTAGGTAGGATGGAAAAGGAGGGGCGAGGATTCAAAATCATGTCACCAAACGTGTGTTTTGGGTTGAATTGTGTCCCCTGAAAGTTCACATGTTGAACTCCTCAGAATGGGACCTTATTTGGGGTCGTTGCAGATGTAATTAATTCAGATGAGTTCCTGCTGGGTAAGATGGGCCCCGGGTCCAACATGACTGGTGTCTTTGTTAAAAGGGGAAATTTGGACACAGAGAGAGACATGCATCGAGGGAAGATGGTGTGAAGTGACACAGGGCAAAGACGGCCATCTACAAGCCGAGGACAGAGGTCTGGGTCAGATCCTCAGTTACAGCCTCAGAAGGAACCAGCCCTGAGGACACCTTGATCAACAACTTCCAGCCCCCAGAACTGGGAGATAATACATCTCTGAATTCCTTTCTCTACATCATATGCAGGAATTTCTGGCATCTCAACCTTGTTTTAACACAGGGCCACTGAGTCCAGCTTCCAGGCAGTCGGCTGCCCAGGCAGACTCAGCTGACCCAGATCGCTGGGTGCCCTGTGGGACTGGTCCACTCTCTCAGAATCCATCCTACACACATTCTGCAGAGTTCGGTCAACAGAAACTCAACTTCCTGCAGTTCTCCTGGCAGCTAAGCCTTTCCAATCCGGGTCTGACTTTTTTTTATTTTAATAAATTTATTTATTTATTTATGTATTTATGTATGTATTATTTATTTATTTATGTACGTATGTATGTATTTTTGGCTGCGTTGGGTCTTTGTTGCTGTGCGCAGGGGTTACTCTTTGACTCTTTGTTGCAGTGTGTGGGCTTCTCATTGCGGTGGCTTCTTTTGTTGCGGAGCACGGGCTTTAGGCATGCAGGCTTCAGTAGTTGTGGCACGTAGGCTCAGTAGTTGTGGCACACAAGCTTAGTTGCTCTGTGGCATGTGGGATCTTCCCAGACCAGGGCTTGAACCCATGTCACCTGCATTGGCAGGCGGATTCTTAACCATGGTGCCACCAGGGAAGTCCCTGGGTTTGACTTTGTGTTGGGACTTGACTCTCCCAGGTCGTAAGGGATGGAGCCGGGCCAGGGAGCTTTGCGGGGAGCTGACTTTTCTCTTACAAAGTAACCCCTTCAAGGGATGTCATGACATGGTCTTCAAGTATGGGGACAACTTTGCCCAGAGAGGGGAAAGGGGCTGTGAAGGGTGATGGGGGCTCCTGGAAAGTAGGGGTTGGGGTCCCCTGGTCTGCCATATTCCCCCTAGCCCCCTTCTCTGGGCCCCACCAGTGTGCCAGCTTTTACTGAGCGCAGCCGGGGAGGCCATAGATTCACCTTCTGTGTTTCTCTTTTTTTAAAATTAATTAATTAATTAATTTATTTATTTTTGGTTGTGTTGGGTCTTTGTTGCGGTGTGCAGGCTTCTCATTGTGGTGGCTTCTCTTGTTGCAGAGCACGGGCTCTAGGTGCATGGGCTTCAGTAGTTGCAGCACACGGGCTCAGTAGTTATGGCTCATGAGCTTAGTTGCTCCGCGGCATGTGGGATCTTCCCAGACCAGGGCTCGAACCCACGTGCCCTGCATTGGCAGGTGGATTCTTAACCACTGTGCCATCTGTGTCTCTTTTGTAACAATCCGAATCTGCCGTGTGTGGCTCTGGGCTCAGTTTTATGGCTGCGAGAGAGGAGACCCGCTGTCATAGGCAGGTTCCCACCTCCCTAAGGTGAGCGGTCAGGGGCTTGAGCCCATCCCTGTCCGCTAGGTGGTTGGGCTTCCTTCGAAGTCCCCACCCACCACAGAGTTCATATCATTGGCATATCATTCCTGGTCAACACAGGTAGCCACTGGGGCCCCAGGACGCCACATCCTGTCCCTGAACACGCATGGCTGCTCAGGGCCTCTAGCCACGCCTGGACCAGGCTGCCAACCCCAATTTTCTGGAAGGTTATTGTCTGCAACGCACTCCAGAGATTATGGGAAGGAAACTGGGTCACTCATAAAACTGACAGGCCCAGGTACAAATGGAGACACAGCCAGCTAACGCCACAGGAGCCCCCTGGACACCATGGCTCCGGGCTCTGGGCTCCCTGGCTTTCATTTCTTCTCCTTTACGATGCAAGTGTTGGGGCCCTCCCCTCCCGCTAGACACGGAAGGAGAGCCTGGGAACCAGCAATGGCTACAATGGGACACATGTCCAGTTCACACAACCCAAGAAACGAAGAACTGCATGCTGCCGAAAGTGACCTGTCCCTCGCTGAGGAGTGACCGTGGTCAGGGAGGGCCGCATCGACTCAGGCCCGAAGCCTGACGACTAAGTGATCTGCAGGGCAGTGAAGGCCGGGCAGGAGGCAGGAGGCTGGGGGCTTTCGCACAGCCAGCTGTGTGTCTCATCAGGCTCTGGGACCACCCCACAACATACACACACGCTGGTGGGAAGCAATCCCAGGAGGCTTGGGAAGCCCAGGGTCAGCAGTGAGAGGGGGTGGGATGCCTGCCCATCTCCAAGCCCCTTCTCCCAGAAGCCCCTGCACCCTGGGCTGAGCTTGCCCTCTGTCCATGCCCTGCATGAGCCCCTGCAGCCTCTCTGCATTGCCCCGCCCTGTGAGTGGCTGCCAGGGGTGGGTCACAGTCTCCTCCTCTGAGTCCCCAGGCCTGGCTGTGGTAGATAATCTCCCGGCCTGGGGAAGCAGGCCCTAGGGGTCTCTCCCTCAGGAAGCCCTCTGCTGGCCAGCCCTTCGGAGAGTCTTGGAAGGTGGTGAAATTGCCGCCTTATAAGGATTCGGGTCTCCATGGCTTCTGGCTCCCCCCAGGGGTCCCAAAGGACCAGAGCCTGGGGGCTTCGTCCTCCTGGCCAGGGTCCACCCGGGCCTGGCCTCTCAGCGGGAACTGAGGAAGTGAGCCAGGGTGGGTCTGGGCTGGTTCCAGGTACAGGGCCTGGGTGATCCCAGATGAGGAAGGATCCTCTTCAAAGCCATTCTGCTTCATGAAGGAGAGCTCGGCAGGGCCCCTTGCTCGCCAAACAAACTCCCTGGATTCTGTGCCTGCCTAGGGCCCTGCAGTGTGCTGCAGGTGGGCCGCAGTGGCCGTCCTCACCTCCACCTCCCCAGGCTGCAGAGGTTCGTGGTGCCAACAGTGGCAAAGGGTGTGGTTGGTCAGTGAGGAATCGGATTCAAGACTGGGTCCTGGTCACCTGGTGCTGTCAAGGGATGGCGGTGGAGAGTTTTCTCGGCTCGCCCTCTGTAAAGAAAGGGGCTGGCTCTGCACAGCCCAGGTGATGTGCCGCAGGCCCCCAGAGCTCTGATGGAGACTGGTCCCCCAAGGCCGGCAGCAAGGACCTCGGCTGGGCAGGGCGGTGAGAGGTCTGGGGGGAGGGTCGGGGCGGTGGGGTCACGGTGGCGCTGCGTCCCGGTCAGGGGTCGGGCGCTGAGGTCTCTGGTGGGAGTCAAGGTACTGGGGATCCGGCTCGGTGGAGCCTGGTGGGCGGGGTCGGGGCGTCGGTGGCCCCGAGCAAGAGAACCCGCAACTCCCAGCGCAGCCCCGCCCGCGGCGTCGGTCTTCTGGGCCGCCCCGCGCCTGCCTTTACGGGCCCGCCACCGACGTGCTCGCCCCCGCGCCGCGGCCGCCATCTGTGGCCGCGCGAGCGAGCGTGCGCGTGCGTGGGGCTGCGAGCGTGCGTGCGTGCGCGCGCGCGGCGGCGGCCCCAAAAGCGGCGCTGCAGCCTGGGGCGGCTCGGCTGAGGCGGCTCCTCCCCGCTCTCGCTCCCGCTCCCGCTCCCGTGGCCCGCGGCTCGCTCCTGCTCCGGGCCCGCCTGCCCAGGCCGCTCCCCGGGCCCGAAGATGCCGGCCGTGTCGAAGGGGGACGGGATGCGGGGCCTGGCGGTCTTCATCTCGGACATCCGCAACTGTGAGTGGCGGGGAGCCGGACCCGGCCTGCGTGGGGTGGGGGCGCAGGCCGGGGTGAAGGGCTGGCCGGCGGGGGCCTTCGGGGGCTAGGGTCCGGGGCGCGGACCTTGCGGGCGGGGGTCCGGGGGTTGAGGGCTGGGGTCCGGGGCGCGGGCCTGGCGGGCGGGGGGCCGGGGGTTGGGGGCTGGGGTCCGGGGCGCAGACCTGGCTGGTGGGGGTCCTGCGGTTGGGGGCTGGGGTCGGGGGCGCGGACCTGGCGGGCGAGGGTCCGGGGGTTGGGGGCTGGGGTCCGGGGCGCGGACCTGGCGGGCGGGGGGTGGGTGGGGAGCGAGGTGAGGACTTGTCGGGGGGGCGGGGTCAGGGGTGCGGGGTCAGGGGTGCGGGGTGAGGGCGGCGTTCCGCAGCCGCGCCGGGTCTGTGGCACCGCTGAGGGGCTTCTGGCGAAGGCGCCCCTCCCCAGCATGATGTCATCTCGAGCAGTCGGCCCGTCTTTCTAGCAATGGAGCATTTAACCCAGCGGTTTCCAAAACAGCGTGGCTTTTCCCGGGGAGTGGGACTAGCGAAACCCGCGTCTTGCCGGGGAAGCAGCTCCTTGACCTGGGTTCTGGCGGCTTATTAGGCCCTGATTAAAATGACTCGTTCCCGAGGGAATCTGGACACCGGGCGGTGGGGGGTTGGGATGGCTTAGGGGAACTGCTGCTCTGCTCGCTGTCTTCCAGCAGGGACAGGGTTCTTAGCGACATGTGTCCCCTCGGAGTGGAAAAATCCACCCCAAAAAGTGCAACGGCCGGGGGGCCGGTGGGTGTACTGTTGGTCCACCGATACATTTGACTTTGGTGCGCAGAAACTCCTGTTGCTTTTCAGGTAGCTGTCCCCTTTATCTAATTTAAAAAATAGACACAAAGCCAGCTTCCTGTCTGGTTTTATTTCTTGTTTGTTATCCACCAGACGTTTGTGGATTTCAACACCTGAGGTTTCGGTGTATTTTAAAGAATGCTTGTGACTTGATCTACTGGTAAATGCTGTTGTCCTGAACCCTCCCTTGATCCTGTCATCTCCTTAGACTGGGATGGAGGACCCAGACTGTGGAAGGTTAGATTTTCTGTCCCTTCCCTTTCTCTGCAAGAAATCGGTGTGGAAACACACCCTGAGGTCTGCGCTGTTACAAGTCGGGCAGTATCCTTTCTCTCTTTCTTTGCTGTGTAATGTGATTTCATAGACAGTAATATTTGTAATCGTAATGCGTCTTGGAAAGCTAAGTGTGGGTGTGCTACTGCTTCAGGAGACCCCTTGGGCCAAAGCTTAGCTGCCTTAAATTAGCCATCACGTCTGTCCTTCCATTATGGAAGAAAATTGCATTGGGCAGGTCATTGAGATTGAAACCCATTTTCTTGGACAAGTGATCATCTACAGACTAGATGTGTTCTGTGCTGGGTCTGCCACATAGTGGAGACTTGGCTGTTGACTGAGTGTAGACAGACTCTCCACCCCGCACGGTGGCGTTTGGGGCTGATCACTTGTGCGGTGCTGTCCGGTGCTCTGCAGCATCCCCTGTCTCTACCGCCTAAACGCTGCAGTTGTGACAACCAAAAATGTTTCCAGCGGTTACCCTGCAGGGCACAACCCAGCCTGAGCCCCTGGTGTAGGCCCATGAATAAGACTGTGTCTTCCTTGACGGAGCTTCTGCAAGAAGAAGATGCGCCTAATCCCTTGGAGGGCGTGGGGGGGGGGCAGCTGTTTAATACGGCCCCTCCTCAGAGCCAGCTTTCCTCGCCGTCCTGTTACCCCCTCATCAGCTGCGGCGCTGTCCTCTCCCCTCAGAGCAGCGTCAGCAGCTCGTGGCCCCGTGGCCTGCCCCGCCCCCCGCAGTGGAAGCCCCACGGGGTGGGGGCCACGTCTGTCTGGCCCACCACATCACTCCTCCTGGCTGGCAGTGTGGCGTGAGACGACACCCAGTGGATGAGGAGACAGCGCCCAGCTGGGGCCTGCTCTGGCTGAAGGGCATCGCGGGCCGAGGCCGGTGGGTGTGCCCACGGCAGGGAGGAGGAGCAGGTCTGGCTGGAGGTGGGATCGGACAGCGAGCCCTGGTGGGAGCTGCCCCGAGCCGAGCCCTTAGTAGCGGGGAGAGGGGTCCCTGCTGCCCCCCGCCCGGCCGGCTCTGCTTCCCTGTTGTGAGGGTGAGCCAGGTGGCCGGGTTCTGTGGGGAGAGGGCAGCCGGGGCCCTGGCCACGGAGCTCGGTCTCCTCCACTGACACGGACGGGTGGGTTTGGAGCTGAAGTATCACTGAAGCGTTTCAGCTCTAAAATCGCAGCTCCGTTTTCCCTTTCCGCACAACGTAGTCTCTTAAATGTCCCCCTTAGCAGCGAGCTCTGCCTCGGGTTGTGCCTCACTTTGGGATCCGCTGCGGTGGACGGGCTTGGAGGGCTGCGCCTCTTTGCGCTGGTGGCAGTGATCGTGCCCCAGGATTTGAGAGGTGCCCGTGTCCTCGTGTTCCGTGGAGCTTTGTGGCTCAGGTAGAGAACCAATTCAGTGCCCCCAAAATTAACTTGGGGACTTCCCTGGTGGCACAGTGGTTAAGAACCCGCCTGCCAATGCAGGAGACACGGGTTCAGGCCCTGGTCCGGGAAGATCCCACATGCCGCAGAGCAGCTAAGCCCATGAGCCACAACTACTGAGCCTGCGCTCTAGAGCCCGCGAGCCACAACTACTGAAGCCCGCACACCTAGAGCCCGTGCTCCGCAACAAGAGAAGCCACCACAGTGAGAAGCCCGCGCATTGCAACAAAGAGTAGCCTCCGCTCACTGCAACTAGAGAAAGCCCGCGCACAGCAACGAAGACCCAATGCACCCCCCCCAATAAAAATTAAGGTTCATTTTACTCTTGTCTGTACATTTAAAAAATGCTGACTTTTTGAAAAAATTGCTCTTCTTGCATATTTTCTTTTGCACTCTTCTGCATAATTTACATTCCTTAGAAACCGATTTAGGAAGTATGTGACGAGGCTCCTGGGAGGGACAGACCACCAGGCTGGGGGAGGAAGGAAGGCTTTGGTCTGGTTGAGTGTTTCTGCCAAGGCTGGTGGTTGCTGCTTCTAGGAAATACCTGTGTATTCTTCCCTGTGTTTCCCTTCTGGCTCTTCTGGAGGGGTGGGGGTGGGTCACTGCTTCTCTTACGAGACGTTGAAATGTCCTGGTGATAAGTGTTCTCATGCCACATACTCAGCATTACTTTTCTTTCCTCTTAAAATGATTTTCACTCTTTTTTTTGGCACCGACACGTGTCAGGATTTTGTAGTTGCGGAATTATTGGAAAGGCTGTCTTTGTGGGATTAAAAGGCATTTCTGAGCTTTAAAAAAATCTAATAGACCCGAGGGTAAGATTCAGGAGTGCCGTGGGAAAAGGCGTTTTGCGTTACTGTGACCAGAGAGAGGGATTCTGGCGGGAGCTCTGAGCAGGAGGGGCTCTGTGTTCCTTGAATGTCACTTGCAGGTTCTTGGGCACAAGGCCGGCCTCCCAGAGCTCAGATTTCAAAACTTCTAAGCCGCCAAGGATGGAAAGTCTTTTTGTGAGTCTGTGGCAGACTTGTCTGGCGCTGTGCTGCCACAAAGCTGTGTGGTCCCTTCCCTGTGAGCTGGCCTCCGGGACGCCCTGGGGGCCCACGGTCACATGCTGTACTTCCTCCGAAAAGCTGAGCGGTTCTGAGTTCCGGGACAAGGTGGGCCTCAGGTTTTGGATAATGGGTGGCATCTGGGCTTGTTGTGGAAATGCTGCTGGGGTTCTGAGAAATGGAGCACGCAGCCCTGGTCTCCTGAGGTGCTTGCAGACAGACAGACAGACAGGGTGGGAGGTGAGTTCCCACCAGCATGTCCGTGTGTATCGAGCACCTCCTGTGCTCAGGACTCCTGCGACAGGCACGCACCCCTCCCATCCTGCCCCTCCCTCTGGTCAGCACGGGCGTTGGACACGGACGCCGCATTGGGAGCTACAATGTCCATGCCTTCTGTCAGCCTCTGGCGGCTGCAGCGCGGAGTAAGTTCAATGACTTCGCTGACAGCTCAGCACGGTAAACGGGATGATACTCGCTGCAAAACAGAAATGAGCAATTTCCACTAGGCCACGTGACGCCTAAAATGTTGGATTACAAAACTGTATTTACTGATTTTGGCGTTTTCCCTCTTCAGAATCTTCCTGACTTTGGTATGAAGGTTGACACGTTGAAACGTGTCATTTTATTAGGAGGAGAATTGCAGGATAGGTTCCAGTGGCCATTCCCTCGTGGGGGTGGGAGCTGAGGCTGTGTGAGGAGATAAGCTCCTGCCCTCTGTGCTGGGGAGAGGGTTGTAAGGGTTCAGCCAAGGTGCGTTGAATAAAGACCTTGTGAGGAGGAAGCGGCCCTGTTTTAAAGCGGTGCCTTGGAGACCGACTAGGGAAGAGGACCTAGAAGGGTATGGGGATGGCGCTGTGGGGTGCCAGCAGGGGAGAGGCGAGGCCCAGCCCAGCCCCAGGCGCTGTCACTGCCCACTGGGCACAGCCTCTGCGCAGCACTGTCGGCAGCGGAGGAGGGCCAGGGCTCGTGACCACCTAGATGAGAGCGAGGGAAGCGGGGCCACCGAGGCTTCTGTGGGAGGCGCCAGCGGGGACGGCGGGAGACACTCAGCTGTGGGGTGGGCCCGTCGTCTGGCCCTTGCAGTTTGTGTGAGTCGGGGTGCGACGGATTTAAGGAGGGCAGTGATGCACCTGCAGCTGCCCTGTGCCCAGGAAAGAGAGGAACCCCTATGCAGGGAGGCTGACCCCCTCTTCCCTGGCGCAGCTCTGGCCCCTTGTAGCTCCCTTAGCCTCTTGGTACCTCAGGAAACAGGGAGTGGCTGGCTGACTGCTGGATGTGTTCATTAAGGCAGAAACTTCTGGCCAGTGGTTTGGGTCAGATCCTGATTCTGTCCCTTTTTCTTTCTCACTTTTGCAAGTTGTGGCCCTAGACAGCCTGGAGTCTTCATTTTGCC